CTTCTCATGCGCCTCCTCGCTGGCAGAGCATGAGAGACTGAAAAGTCCTTGATCGGGGTAAGTGCTACTGAGCAACAACTAAAACATTGGTGTGTTATCAGCATTGCATTGTTCTTAGACTAAAGCCAAAACACTGCACTGCACCAGCTACTAGGAAGAAAATTAACTCTATCCCAACCAAAAGCAGGACAGTTAGGCAACACAAGTGGTGAAATCCAATGTATACATTACCCCTTCTGAAAATCCCCCCAGGCACTTATTGCCGTTATGTTCTGCTGTCTGGTGGGGACTAGATACTGCCTTTATACTACTCACAGCCGTTTCTGGATTGCATTTAGGTCACCTAATGCTGTAGTTTAGCTCAGAATCTCTAGATGTCGTAAGATACCCCCTTTCAGGGTCATGTATAGTAAACAAAAGGCCAATTTCAGGCTGGTTTGAGCAGGGATGGCCACAGATCCATGCTCATGGGTAAGAGCTTGGTGGGGGGGGTGCATCTGATTCATAGTAATTTTATCAGGAGAAACCCCACAGAACTAGCTGTATTCAAATCCCGTTCACCTGCTGCTCCAGTGCTGTTTGGATTTTGAGGCGTCCCTCAGAAACCTTACTCACGTTTTACAGCCACAACTGGATGTAGGGCACAGCCCTTTCCCATTTGGGTCATGCAGAATTTTTCCAAGTGGGGGGGGTGCATCTGATTCATAGTAATTTTATCAGGAGAAACCCCACAGAACTAGCTGTATTCAAATCCCGTTCACCTGCTGCTCCAGTGCTGTTTGGATTTTGAGGCGTCCCTCAGAAACCTTACTCACGTTTTACAGCCACAACTGGATGTAGGGCACAGCCCTTTCCCATTTGGGTCATGCAGAATTTTTCCAATAGCTTTAACTGAAAGAAGCTGAGACCTTTAAGGTCAATGTGAACTTTAGTTAGGGTCATGCCAATGAGTAAACCACTGGATCTTGTAGTAACATGTCTCTGTAGCTGATCTGGTGGTTTTACACCATGTAGCCCTCACCCATGAATTCAGCAGAGTGAACTGAAGCGCGTGTGTGAGTTACACTGCTGACAGGCTGGTTTATCCTCTGCAAAAGCCATCAGCAATCTGTGTCTCGTGGCCTGGCCCTAAGGTCTGAGTCGTGCCTGTTAACTCCTGAGGCTTACACTGCCCGGTGATGTCAGCGGGAGTCTTGCATGAGTAAGCAAGCTATTCTTTCCTCTTATGACATTTGATCTGTGTAGTGCATTTAAACTGTAAAGGAGTTTTACACAAGCTGCTACCAAAGCTGCACATCTCATTCTGAAGTTTCACACTACA